ATCATATTTTTTTTTAACAAGAACTGCAGTCTATTTTTTTTAAATATTAAATATTTTTTTTACGTTTGAACATATAATTCTAAGTTGTATGGTACGAATGGCTGAGTTATTTTGATCTGAAAAATAGATTATTTTCGCTTATTTTACTTTACATAAAAATAATTGTGGCAGGATATAAAATTAATGCAATAAGATCAAATGAGTTGAATAATTTATTCGGTTCGCAATTAAAAGCAGTAATGCCGAGTGGCTTTGAAGTAGCATAACGATTTTCAGGTAGATGCTTCTCTTTCTAGAGCCTCACACAAGCACAGTAATTAAAGGAAGTGGTACTTTTCCGTTCTTTGAAATACACAGCCGTAATTTTTCAAAGGGTGCCGTCGTTTAGAAAGGATTAAACGCGTTAAACCTTACTTTCTTTTGCAACTATATTTCTTTTTTCTAATGGCAATAAAACTAGAAAATAATCGTTCTAATCGTTCTAAAAGCACGTATGGAAAATTTGCCAGTTAATTTTAATAAATAAATTTATATTGGATTATATTGGAATGTTTAAAGTTCAATCCTACTTTTCAATACATTATTTAAAAATTTAATGAAATTTTTCTGAAAAAGAAAATAAGTATTTATTAAATTTAGTATTCATTAAAATTTATATAAATCAAAATAACTTAAGGAAAAGAAATATTTATTTTACATAAAAATATATTATTTCTCAAAAGAGAATTATTAATAAGAATTGTTAATAAGTTATTAATAAATTATCAATAAGTTTCTTATGATTGCCAAAACGTAAAGATTATTAAACATTTAACTTATCGAGACAAAAAAGATATAAGCGTTTGGAAGGAGACCACTGCAGACGCGACCGCAAGGTGAGAAGTCGAACTTTCACAATAAGAAGAAGGATAGAGGAAGAGAGAAATCAGTTTAACGAACTAACACCTAACGAATGTATTTCCTTTTCCTTCTCTCTCTCCTTCTCTCTTTCTACTCTCTTCTTCCGTGTCGCTTTTTTTCGTTAGATCGAAGGCGATGCGCGCAGCGGCCGCTCTATATCGGAGCGAGACTCAATTGGGTTCTGGACCGCGGTTATCCGTTTATCGCTATATAACCACCGGAGGGTTGGCGAGGCGGATACATCCCCGCGAAAGGAGAGCGATTAATCACGTTTTACTCGGTTCCGAGTCAGACCGACCAATTTGGCCGGAAAGGTCGTTGTTTGCTCGATAAGACGCGCCGGGGGTAGAAAGGCGAAGCTGGCGATACCCTGTGGAACAATCGACGAATCTCGCCGGTGATTCGCAATATAGACAAACAATCTTATCCGGTCACCGACGTAGGAAAACTTGAGTCGCGTTCGTCCTCTTTTTCTCTCCTTCACTCTTTTAACCAGCAACCGTTCACCCGGATTCGCGAAGTCAAATCTCTCCACCAAAGTCCACCTCCTCGATCCTCCTGGCTCTGGACACGTCGGAAGGTGCATTTTTCATGATGCATCTGGAAATGCTCGACTTGTAGCGTCTTACCGCGGTGGATAAGGCATTCCGGTTTCTTTATGGCGTGAACGTGAGATGGTGTTCCTCGTGGTTGGCAAGGATATCGTTTTACGACATTGAGCAGCCAATTTGATAGTAATTTTCGACAATGCGTTTTTTAGTTTTTCAATGTTCATCCAAAAAGATAACTGCGCGGAAGCTTGAAAAGTATATAAATAATGGAGAGCTGCTCGATCTTCTTTTACCATTATTGCTTTTAATCTCGACATACTATTTTTATTAGATTTATTCGAGAAATATATGGATTTATATGAAAGCTACTTAGGTAAAATTACTTGAGCTATAAAACTATTTAAATAATTGTGCAATTTTTGGAAAATACAAGTGTTTTGAATTTGAACTAAAATAAAACAATGTAACACCGTTTAAAAAATTGTTAATTTAAATAAAATTCTAATTAAAATTGAAATAATACGAAATCGTGCATACATTCGTGCTATTCTTAACGAAATAAAATCGAACAACACCGTCGAGACTCTCCACCTGTCTCTCATTTTCCTTCTCTCCCCCTCCCTCTCTCTCTCTCTCTCTCTCTCTCTCTCTCTGTCTTCGTATCTCTATCTCTATCTATATCTGTGTGAAGAGACCGGAGGCTCGCAAGCGGTAAATTAATTCGAACGACAAGCGCAGTCGACGCTTCCACTCGCGCCGAATAAACATCAGAGCCAGAAGTTGACCAGACCGGGGCGATCCATGCTGGAGGACCCGCCATATCTGGGATCTACGTGCCCATTTCCCGTGGCCCGTATAACGTATTTGGCACCGATCCTCCGCTGCATCTGCATCGGACGTCGTCGGCGTTGCACAGGACGGATTATAGGACGTATATCCCGTCGATTGCAAATTGCGCAACCCTATCTCCGGATCGACGTGAGTCTAGCCACTCGATTCTTTTTATGCTGTCGTTAAATGCTTAATATCTGCAGCGGTGATCAATATCAATATTAGCGCGTGCGAAAAATAATCTGTCGAAATCTACTTTAAATCTCTAGCGTCAGAAATAATTATAAAATATTTAAATATTTAGTGTCTGATTATATTCGCGTTTGAACTACTTACTCCAATATCTTTTACAACTCTTATTCTTTCTTTTATTAAGTTTAATTATATGTAATTTTTAATATACACACACCAATGTCTGTAATGATTTAAAATGTGTCCTCACATGGAAACTTTATTTTCTTAATGATAGAATTATCGCTCTATTCTTATGGTTTATCTTATGACCTAGTCGTGTAAGGACTAAGTGATGTAGTTAGATGGCAATAGTAGATTACCAGAGGGGCTAACTACCGTCCGCGGACTGTAATCTAAACAAGCTATCATTAATTTTAGTACGTGTGGTGGATGCTCCTAGTACCAATAAACATCAGAGACAGGGACCAGGCCCGCCGGCGTTCCTGACGCACTTTGGGTGCCGGTAGCATATTCGAGATATACCGCGCGAGTTCGTATAATATACGTATATTTAGTATCACGATATTCTCTCTTTCGGCACCAGATGTTGCCGTTCGCGCGATTCGGACTTTGCGACGAACATTCGTTCATTATTTCGCGACTAACTCATGTTAATTTCGAATAAACTCGGACTTGAATATTTCGTATCTACGCGCGCGCTTTGCCGGAATTCGCGCTTTTGAATGATTTACAGATCGCTTTTAGCTCCTTTATGCGAAATACATCAAAGGTGGAAGATAAATAAATTCAGTAAATCCGAAAAACGATAATTAATCGTTATTTTTGTATTGCTTAATATAAATATACTGTCGTCCTTTTTTAACAATTGCCTTATTTTTAAATAGAGAGAGAATTCCATTAATCTGTATAATATCATTATGAGATAAACATAAAAATTAATTTGACATTAAAGAGCATTGCATATTTATTTGCTTAAAAAATAATTATATATAAAAATAATTATATATAATAATTATATATAAAAATAATTATATATAATGTATAATTATATATAATTGCTCTTTCCGAAATTTTTTGGAATTATTTTAATGCGAGCAAATTTCAATTTAGTATCGATCGCCGATAGTCGATAGAAAATTAATAGTTATGTGCGGTATAGTACATTTCTACTCTCTATTGGTGGAATTATGTCAAGATCGAGTACGGCTGAGGTTAAATCGAATTTATAGCATTAAGCGATTGTTCGAACAGTTAATCGGTACATCAATCACAGAAAAAGGAAAAAGTAATTACACAATGGTATACAAGCTATTAAGCTTTTATCACGATTCTTTAGCAGAAATAGCAATATTCAGGATATCACTTATTCAAGATCAAAAACAATTAGATAAAAATTATTACATTATATTTAATTATTATAAGCATGTAAACCGTTGATAAAAACATGATTTTATTTTCTACTTAATTATTAGTACTTTAAGAGCGATAATATATTTAAGTTATTTAAAATTTAATCGCTTCAGCTTATTAAATCCGATAATCTAGTTCGTCTCGCTGTTTATTATGCATGACATAAAACAGTGTCAATTTAATTTTTTATTATTCGTTTAAAAAAAATTCAATTACGTAGAAAAGAAGAAAATCATTAATGGAATTTGATAAATGTTTGACAATTCGTATTTTAGATATTATACACTAAGATAGAATATCTCGATGCAATAAATCTCGTAACGTAGTACCAGATGAAATATTTGCAAAAAACGCTTCTTCTTTATTTACTGCTATTGGATAAACATTCCGGCAAGAATCTGACAGCTCGACGGTGGATAGCGTCGCGCTTTCCGGAGCAAAGTGGTATACTCGAGCCACACTTTATTTATTTTCCGGACTGCGGATATAACACACCGTTGGCATTGTGCCCCCGTTGCATCTGCGTTATTGCTCGTTGTCGGGCACAACAGATTTCGTATTGGACACCTTTCACAATGTATTGACTCTCGCGTCAATCGCAATAAGCGTAGCTCGATGTAATGGACCAGGAATGATATATGTGACAAATGGTTGCTGTACAAATTGTGCATGTGCATCTCGATTTCCTTGGTCATATGCTGATTGCTCGGTAATAAATGTATTTTGACAAGTTTTTTCGATAGACGCGGAATAATATTTTCTCACGTAAATTATTTTTACACACTTCAATACTATAACAAATAATTTAAATTACTGGAAATAACGTGTTTAAATTGAAAATTTTTTTAAAAATACTGTTGGAAATTTTACTAAACACTTGAAAGTTAACCAAGTTTGCCAGGTAATACCTATAAAATACCCATCAGATATATTGAACATTATTTACTTCTTTTACGAGTTTCATATGCACAATACGTAGTTGAAAATGTGAATAGCGTGTCTCGCGCGTTTCTCGGGAAATTCTACATTTCACTCGCGTCAGTTTTCTCGAAAATTCCATCGAATCATTTTGAGAGGCAAGTTCCTCCTCGGGAAAAAGTTGAAGTTACTCACCGATTGGCACGTTGACAGCGAAGAGAACGACAAGGGCGCGATGGTAGAGCATTGTGCGCGGCGATGAGAAAGAGAGGAGCCGAGGAAATCGTCCGCCGTCGATGGCAACCAGGCTCCGTTTCCCTTATCTACTTAACCCCGTCATCTTCTGCGCGGACCTCCGTTTCCGGTGCCCTGACGCATAGCATATCTGAAACAATAGCGTTAGTTCGATCATTTACCCGATCGGGCAGCATCGGCTCCGTCGTTGTTGCTCGCCGCTTTATCGTTCGTTTCCAGCGAGCGAACTTTCGGTCTCGTTGGCATGTTGCAGCTTTGCATCTCGAGATCTATCACCAATGTCGTCGCGTCGTGTTCGCGTTCTCCGGTCGAGCGTATCGTTTCGCTTGGTGACATTCATCGATCGTATCTCGACTAACTTTGCTAAGAGCAGACCGCCGTTAATTTCGCGCTGCCCTCTGAATAAGAAATTACTTTGACATTTGGGATGCCGCGTTTACGGTCACTGCGCGATTAATTATCAATATAATTGCATCAGCGCGTTTCTTTGCTCCACAAAATAAATATTCATATTATTTCGATTGCAATTGGCGCAATCAAAATATTTATTCCAACGTTTATTTATTAACAGGCTTATTTCTTTTAGAATTCACATGTTATTGAAAAGAATATATATTGAGCCAATAATTCGTAATTTATTTTAATTGACCTAATTTTATAACGTATGAATCAACATACAATTATCCTTGTAAAAACCACCAATGCATAGAGGAGTTTCCTTCTCTTTAAAAATATATTTTTATGTTAAATGAAGTTTAGATAATATCCCTCGGTATTTTCGGAAATTATATTTTTTTAATTGTGGTACTATTTATATAAACCTACATTTACAAAGTAATAAATGTCGTAATAAATTTAATTACATCGCTGTTACAATTTTGATGAGCGCGCTGTCAGTTAAAATAAGTTATTTCTGCGGATTTATAAATTATCACGGGCGCCAACAGAATTTACGGGAACGAATGCGGGTGGAATGCAAATAGCACGTTTGTCACGTTTATGTAAGTACGTGTCACGTATATATTCGGCGATAAATTGCTTCTAAATGCATTTCCGCTTTAGACGCTTTCTGTCGTCGTGGGAGAAATTAATCACGCGTGTCTGCCGTCTATTATTTTATGACTCATGCGCATCACGGATAATAGCGATGTTACGGAGCTTGTAAAGTGGTCGATTTTATAAATACCACATAAGTTCCGCTTAATACGTACAGTACGGCTCGCGATTCACAATTTACTTCCGTTCATTATACACACGATCGTTAAACGACGATAAACCGCCATATAATATCATTCAGTTCCGCTCGAATATCCGGTCTTCGATCACCGTGGAATAATCAGAGTAGGTTATTGTGTCGATCGTCCTGTGATAATATATTAATAACTAAATAATTAAAATTACAATTAAATAAATGCTATAAGCAACGTGAGATCTCAATTTGGAAATACACACACATATATATATGAAAGAGTTGAATACGATTAAAATATAATTTTAAAATCTTTATAGAATGAGATGATATTTTACGTGGTATAATTTGCTTCAACTTTTCAATGAAAAAACATCAATTCAGTATAAAAAAAAATCGCAAGATACGCCTGTTGTGGAATAAAAAATACGTAGAACCTTCGATTTTTTAAATATTATTGCAAATATTATTGATCACGCTACTCCGCATATGAATATCTCGCATATAAATATCTTCCCGCGTGTTTTACACCCGTCTACTTTCGTCGATCATCGCTCGGTTAACGCCGCGCATTAATCGAACTAAAACATCCGAGTGCCGCCCCGTCCGTCGTCCGTTTGTTTCCGTTTCATCAGCGCGCGAAGAATAATACGTTAATACAATGAACGAACGTGCAATTCGATTATCGATGCTCGCAAGTTTAAAGCAAATAGAACACGGAGAAAGGACCGCGGCTCTTCGCCGTCGACATATCGAGACGAGACGGCGAGGTAAAATGCGAAACACGAAGCTAGAGCGATGCCGCGGTTCGTTATTGACGACGTGAATCCATACCAATGTCGACAAGGGCGACCGCAGAGCAACGAGTTACTCGGTTCTCTTGCATAAGTGCAAAAACTGTCCAATGGGATTAACGTTAATTTGCATTCGCGCGTTATCTCTCGACGGCCTGTAACCTGCCTATCTCGTTTGCGACCAGCAAAACAGAATGATAATCCAAACTGTTGCCGCTTCCGTGGACAGTCGATGGAGAAACATGCGATATCTGCTTTTGCCAGTCTTGCTGTTCGACGACAAATAAATTCACGTATATATTCGCCGTCTCGCGAAAAAAATTCCCGAAGAATAAAGTAAATCTCAAGAATTAGATGTATAATTAAATATAGTGTTATCTTGCAACCGATAAAGCGATTCTATCAACTTTGCTGTCTACAAATCCTGTCTTTTTGTAATTGTAAATGTAAAACGTGTATTAGGACGGGTTAAAAGAGAGGATATCGTGCCGATAAACGGCGCGTACGCAGGGATGTTACGTGCATAGATTACAGGAAAGGCAATGGGCGGTTTGTGATAAGGGTGGCGTGAGAGATAATGCGGCCGAGATAATTATTTTTCAGCTACGACTGTTGGTAAATCTTATTTCCTTTTCGTGATTAATTGGCGGGCCCCGGGAGTGTGATAATGAATGTGAGATAGATAGGCTTGGAGTCCGAGAGAGGATGAAAAACAGTTCCTTGAATAAATGTCGGACGCACCATCTTGATGCGCATGAATGACGAGCGTCCTGATATATGCAGATCGCTACTTGCGAGAAATTCTAATTATAAATTATACTACGTGTTAAATATAATTTTCTTATCTGTATAAAATGCTTCAAGAAAATCTTGTAATATTATTTAATATCTTTATTTCAGCATTGGATGTTGAGATAATTAGTTACTTTTCTAAAAACAAGGTGTTTTCCTTCAAAGTTTTTGTGCCAAGGAAGAATTTTCATCTCTCTAATAAATGAAAAAAATTTTATCTTTAATTTAAAAGCGGCTTTTTAATGCATACGTTATGCATCTCTTGGCTTTCAAATTAAAAATTTTTAATTATTTATTCAACAAAATAATTAAATAAATTATTTTAAAAATGATTAAATTTCAGAATATTGATTTCCAATTTTATCAAAACAAAGCAATTTTTTAGACGCAGAACTTTAATATTTCTTTTTATAATAATTACTTGGAAAAACGCCTTTTTTCATTTATTGCATATTAATATTCATTATATGTATGTTATTCAAATTAGTATCCCTTTAGTGTTGCATATTTACGGTAAAACATTAATCGAGCTCTGAGAAAAATCGGGAATCGGCAGAAAGATGCTAGAATATTGAATGAGAAAATAATTAAATTTGATACATTATTTCTCTCAGACGACTCCCAAGTGTTACTTTGATCAAGTTCGATTCCGTTCGCGAGAAAAGCATCGATAAAGGGGTTACCTAGATACGGAATATGTAAGACACGCGCGCACATACGAGCCACCCTGGTGTACCCTGGTAGATAGATAAATCGACGAATTCGTGAATATTCAGCGACTCTGCCGACCTTCTCCGAAACGAGTTTACGGCCCTCGGCCTCGCTTTTACGAGTTTGTCAAGATGAAACGACTTCGCGCCGAATCGACGAGCCGTTTTCCTCGTATCGTTGTCGTCGACGCGTGTTAAACTGAGAACTATTCGACGACATCGCGGGAATAAGAGTCTAGAATCTCGCTTTAACAGACGATATTGTTAGAGTCACGTCAAGTCCGAGTCTCGAGACATCAAAGTGCCAAGATATATATACCGAATAGACTGAATGTGTCATTAACCATCCGTTTATTTTAGTTTTCATCTGGCGAGAATGAGTCTTTATCTGATTATCGATTTTAATAAGATATAATTAAACAACATAAGATTTGAGACACGAAAATACTTTCATTATCAAATTATTATGAATGGAATTTATAAACTATATAATTATGTTACCACGAATCGATCTGCATTCAAAGATAAATACGGTGACTTCTTTTAACATTTTTTGGCGCAAAATCCGTATCTACTTTAATTAATATCGATAACATCCGTTCGTGGCATCTCGTCAAGTCTTTACATTATATTCAATAAAATACGCTGTATTTATTTGATTGGCATCGTTCAATATTTCTTTTACCGTTTGCATTGTATACATATCACTTATTTTTTAATTACTCTTGAATTTCAACGTAACATGATAAAAAGAGAGTAAATGCTCTATACGTCAATACGTTAAAAATAGATTTTCAAGTTTATTTTACGTTTTTCCGCTACGATATCTATTCATAGAAATATAGGGTCGTCGTAATTATATTGACTTTAATTCCTGTTTACGCGCAATCGGCCTTCGCGCAAGATTGACGAGGACATTTATATTAAACAGAAAGTTGGCCAAAATCCAAAGTGATACCGGCACTTGCCGCCTCCCTCGCCGGTGTTATTTCCTGGTTATAAGTTAGACAGCGCGTCCCTGGGGTTATCAAATATTCGCTGAAGATACTTGCAACTACCGAACTTGTATCGCATCAAATATTTCCCCGTGTTCCATCTGTGTTATTTCTCACGTCCGTCTCGGTGATGCTGCCATCGTACAAATTCAACGAATTTGTTCCGAACTTTATTCCAACAAGAAACTTATAATAATATCTTGCAAATCGATATCTTGACCTCGATTATATTTACGTACGGCGACGTCTTCGTTTTATTTTTCATTCACAGCATTATTTACAAAATGCTTCTATTATCGGATCGAGATTTCCCCTTGAATTCATTTGAAACTAATACACTAAATTGGTTAGTGCAATATGATAATTTATATCTATTCTGACGCTATATAAAATTTATATTCCGATTTATTTGGGTACCGCTCGCAGACTGGTGTTATAATCTGATTAATAAATCTCAATTTTAAATTTCCTTAAGTCATATACGTTTGAAATATAAATACCCCTTGCCAATTGTCCCTAAAGTCTGGCTAAAATAAACTTGATAGATTACTTCTTTCAAATGCAGAGAATAATCTCGCTCCGAAAGGCTTAATCGCGGAATTAATGAACACCAACTTGCTCGCTCTACTCCGTGTCGCCTTATCATAGAT